ATATATATATATATATATATATATATATATATATATATATATATATATATATATATAATTAAATACAAAATGAATAAAAAAATAAACAGTGCTATTCAATAGTACTTTCCACTTTAGTCCTGGTGGTGGGCTATAGGACAAGGACTCTGCATTTCTGGTCTGTAGTCAATATGATACGATACGTACCTCGATATACTGACAATGCTCTGATTCATTATAGATACATAAATATATATAGAAGCAAAAACCTTTACAATGCAATACAATTCAGGCTTTAATCACAATACAATGCAATTCAATATGAGTTTAAGTCAACACACTGAAATTCAGTACAAATTAACAAAGCAAAGGAATGGTCCCGTATGAGCTACTGAAGCTAATTATTTACCGCTTCATAAAAATAAAGGATTGCTCACAAATGAGTCGTTTTAAAATTGCAAAACACTTTCATAAAATCTGACTCGCAATTATTAATACACAAAAAATTAGGCTTAGTATAAAATGAATAAACTGACCAGAGGCAGATGTGTCTAATACTCTTTTAGCAACTCAGCCATGTGCAGCAAAATGTATTTCATTGGATTTTACATTATAAAAAATAACTCATAAGTTCCATTTTTTTTGGAATACAATTTGATTCACATTGCTTTAAGCACATTTAAGTGTTTGTTGCTGTTTACACCAGCGCTGCTGCACTTCCCCTCCTAAGCAGTAGGTGGTGCTAGCGATAAAAACAAAGTTAACCAGCAAGAGCTGCAGCCAGAAGAAGAATGTTCACTGTAAGAAATGAAGAGGGGAACTGTTCTTTACAGTCAAACATAGCTAGACTTTACATTTTCTGCCATATTTATATAGTAGCATGTGTGTGGAAACAAACCTGCTGCAGATTTTTAATTAATGAACAAATCAATGTTTATTGGTACAAAGACGCAAAGAATCAATGCATCTAGATTTAATCTCCAAACAGCATCGGTGCATGGCTGTTCTACCAGTGCAATTGCACCGTGCATGTGTGCATCCTTGAATCTATAAAATTTAGTTTATCTTGACATTCCTATAAAGGATCAATTGTAGGTGCAACTCAAACAAATGGTGGAAGTAAAGCAGTGTGCCTTGATGTTCAATGTCACAATATACTTTTATACTTTTTCCACCTGATTTTCAGTTTTGCTAAACTGCTTCAGTTTTAAATAAATCATTGTTTCTGAACGCTGGTGTATTTTGCGTTGTTTGTGGCTGTAACTGAAAAATTATGGAGCTTATTGTGGCTTCACCTAGCATGTTGTACGTTCCGTTATATTTTGATCAGCAGTTAAGTTTCCATCCTGCCCCAACAGATAAGGAATCAAGAAATATATGAGAAATAAACTGTATTTGAAGAAACCTCTGAAAATATTGTATTCATGTAATTTTAAAGCCACGAGAGGAAAACTTTCTTCCTTGTAGCTGGGTTGTCAGACCACAGGAGACAAGATGTTAGATTCAGTAAACCATCCACATCGGTGCTGAAGAAGTCAAAACTGACAAAATATACTAAATATGTGCTGGTTTTAATGAACCTTAAAAGGTGAGCACAAAGTGAAAGTTGAAGATTTTGAAACTAAACCACCTTAATTTGTTTACAAAGTACAAATCACTTTGAAGATGTAATATGTCTTTCACAAATTTTACAGAGAAAATAAATGTAATAAAATATTCTTAGATTTAAAATCTTGACACGCCAGCCTAAAAGACTCCACTGTTGTCATTTGACCCACGTAGAAAATGTGTATATTGTAGCATCTGACCCCAGTGAATCAGATTTTATCCGTGTAGTTCCCTGTAAAGCGAGCATGTCTCCTCCAATCAACTCAGAGTTCATCTATCCTAAAGCACCGTTCCCCAGAGCCTACTCCCAGACAGGAAGAGGAAATAGTAAAAGTCGATAGAGGAACTGGGATCAGTTTCACACAGGAGAGTGGATAGGTACGATTTAGTCTGAGGAGTGAATCTTTTGAGGATTTACTTCCTTTTCTCAAAGGCAGGAAGTCAAATTCAAACACTTCTACTCACTGAACACTGTTCATAATATATATATATATATAAATATAACCGCAGAGTTTAAGTAACACTAAAACAAGGCACGGTGAAATTCTGTTAAACATTATTACTCTATAAACATTGGTTTAACACACCATTTCTCTGTGAAAATTAAATGGAGTGTGCTCCAAGGAAAAGCTGATCAAAGGCAGAAACATGTTCTCACAACATTATGAGTTTAGGTCTGGCAGCTGGCCAGCGTTGCTTTCCACCGCCCATTCTCACTCCATTCTGTCTCACCTTATACCTCCTCATAAAGCAAATACACCATAAAATATTATCTCTAAATTCTTGTAACTATAGCTCTTTGAGCTTTTATGAGGGTTAAGTCACCCAAAATCATGGATTTCATCTGCTACACATTAAGTGTAATAAAAAGAGAAAGAAAAACAGATTTTAATGTTACAACTGATGTAACTAAATATATTCACATCAAAAAGGCTATATTTTCAGAGGAAGTTCAAATAGAGTCACTATTTTATCAGGATATATAAATTTATCTATAATTTTACCCACGATTATTATTAGGGATGAACAATATTATCGGCATGGTATTGGCCGATATTAGCGTTAAAGTTCAATATCGGACAAAAGCCATTCCATCAAAATAACTCACCGATGTAAAAGGTGTTGTTTTTGTATGACAACCCAGTGACAAGGATGCTTGCAGCACCAGCACAACGTGATGACGTCACAGGCGTCTATCTGATCTCACGACGGAGAGGAATAAGTCAAAATGTCGGCGGAGTGGAAGTTGTTTTTTTTTCATTGAGGACGTCGGGTTCGGAAGATTTTTGGACCATGTTGAGCCTCGCTACATCGTCCCCAGTCAGAGATATTTTTCTGACGTAACCATACCCGAGTTACAAGCCGTCATTTCCGACGTCATTGAGAAGCTAATAGCTGATAGCACTTGGGTGAGTTTTACCACAGACATTTGGACGTCGTGTTAGCCCCGTTAGCATGATTAGTCTTACGGCACAATGGATGGACAAAAACTTTGAACTTAAAAAGACTGTCCTTCATGCACAGGAGTGCAGAGGATCCCACACTGTAGCTAGGAACCTGGAACAAGCCTTCACAAGTGAGACAGCATCTCAGGTGACTAATGCTAATAAATAACATTTAACACTTTTCATTTAATATAAGTTAAAGTGCTATGCATATGACTGTTACTGAATATATATCAACAGCTCTTACAGCTGTTACACAATTTTTGTAGCAAATAAGTGTAGTGAACTAGGCCTGAAGGTCAAAACCTTGACCTAAGGACCATATGGGACAGAACTTGTCATTTCATTGATTTGCATCCAGAAATACAGGTTGACCCATCCTGAGACTTTCTTTCTTAAGTTAATCAAGTGAAAGAAGACTATTCTCTATTATCATTACTATTTTACAAATGTTTGATAATCAAATTGTGTTAGTTCAAACAATGTTTGAATGTTGAAGTGAACTACTCATTTTTATTAATTGTGAAACAGTAATAATGATTCTTAATCCTCATTCAAAGTGAAATCAAGTTGGAATACGTTACAGAGTAATGATTCAATTTCTTGATCGTCTGTTTGAAGTGAGCAAGTGTGTAAGTTGGTCAAAGTTCAAGTTTCGGTCAACTGCAAGTTTACTGAAAAGAAATGTCATGTTTAACTTTTACAGCAAGATACTAGAGAATTGACTCCACGAAGTCTGAAGTTTCTCATGATATCTTTTGTCTGTCCTTAAACAATCTTAATCTTTTCCTTGACTTTTCATAACACCTTACATCACAAAACACACCTCTGTTTTGGTCCATCGACCAATCAGAAAGTTCTCAAATGAACCGGAAGTGAGCTTTCTTTAAATGTTGGCACTTCCTAGTTCAACCTAGCTTTGAAGCAGTAAATCTGATGGAGAGTTCTGCAAGAGGTTCCACCTCCAGTTGGAGTCGGGTGGAGAGTTTGCAGTTACAGCAGTTCCAGAATTCATGAAGGCTGGAATTCAGGATGCTGATGGGAGAAAGAAAATCAAGCTGAACCAGAGAAGATCTGGGAATTATTAAAGTCTGTCCTGGATGACCTCACGACTCCCGAGGTTTTAGCTGTTCTTACGGAGACGCTGAAAAGTGGCTCGAAGTGGAACTTTACGCCGGAACTGAGATATCTTCAGAAAGATAAAAGTCGATCTTCACCAAAG